CTTGTTGTTCTTCAAGGTAGCATAGTAATCCATTGTGTGTACCTACATTGACTTTCAAGTAAGTTTACAGACATATTTCAACAAGTGACTATATTGTTGTTGTTTGATGCCATGGAGTCAGCACCAACTCATAGTAACCCTATACACAACAGAACATAACACTGCCTGGTCCCGAGCCAGCCTCACAATCATTGCTAAGCCTGAACCCACTGCTATCACCACTGTACCAATCCATCTTTTTGGGGGTCTTCCTTTCCTTCTCTGACCCTCCACTTTACCAAACATGATATTCTTTTCAGTAGGGACTGATCCCTACTGGTAATATGTCCCAAGGATAAGAGACAAAGTGAAAATGTAGCCAGTTTAAACTCTAGCACAAAAATAAATTGCTCTTTTTTGGCTGGGCTATAAATGAAGTTGTTTGAATTTAGGGAGGATGTTCCATTAACAATCTTTATCTTAAAATCTGATATTTGTATTCATTTTTCTGATGTCTAAAGCTGCAACAGCTCAATCGACAAAGGGGTCCATGAGACTGATAAATTCTGAAGACTGAGGAGAGAGTTTGTCTACTGAAGTAGTTCCTGAAATGTTTTTATCAGCAATAATGAAACTATTGTTCATACCCCAATGAGTCCATGAAGAACAATGGCATTCATTTGACTCTTTTAGTTAGGTGACTGGGACAAAGGAAATGGTCCCAAATTTCAACATAGCTCAAAATAATAAAGCAGTTACTAAATCAAATCAGAAAATGTTAAAAAAAATATTTAGCTCAGTTCTTTAAGTTAAAAGGCACAGTTACCCCCTTCCAAGACTAAGACTCAATGAGAATACACACTCTGATTGGTGACCACGTCTGTCACCGATAAGAGGAAGTGAGGGAAAAACAGCAATGAAGCTGCAAGCTAAGCCCTACAATGTTCAATAGACTCCTGTGAATCTGGGTGAAGACCTAGTTGGCCAGCAGTGTGGCAAGACCTGGGGACTCTTGGGCCCAGAGTCAGTGACATAGCCACAGAGGACTAGAGTGGAGAGTGAAGCATCCAGCTGATAAAAAGAGAGGGCATATGCACAAGAACACCCACACTTGCAGATAATACCCACTTGTCCTGGCTTCAATGACTGGATGATCAGAGCTCAACCAGAAGAAGAAAGAAGAGGGAAAAAAGTGTAATCTGATACAATTTGATGAACTTGACCTACACCTATAGATGCAGTAGCCCCAAAGAGGGAATAAATCCGTACAGCGAGGATCATTTCCACTCCCTCCATACACAGAGTAGACAGGGATGGGCAATTTGGACATTGGCTACCCAAAATGGGAGGGCTACAAAGGCAAGAAGTGACTGGCTTACAAGATTTCAAGAGGGAACCTAGATTCAGAGGGCATGAAGGAAGGTAGAATCTCCACTGAGTAGCATCCAACCTGTCTAGGCGGGCCTGATGAAAGATAATGCGGATAGGTCTTTTGTGATGCAATAGTAAATAATTGTTATCAGGACCGCTTGTGAGGGTTGGAAATGTAAAGGTAAACATTTTGTAGCAAGGAGGGGAGTGATTAACTTTTCAGTCTAGGAGCGGAGGTCCCTGGGACCATCAAGGAAGAAGAGCGGAGAGTGGGACCCTAGCCAGAGAAGCAGTTATGCCTGAGATGGAGGCAGAGATGATGACCTGGAGAGATGGCGCAGCTGGGGACTTTAGACCCAGAGAGGGAGAGGGGCTGTGTGCTGACGACAGGGGGGCTGCTCCATCTGTACTCCTCTCAGAGATCTCAACTAAAACAAACTAAGTCTACACAGGACTTCTCTATTAGTCAAATGTTAGTTGGTAGATAATATTCGAGGCATTGTTTTAGGTGCTGAATGCCAGAAGTGCACTCCACTCACCTCTGCACCAGATCCTGCTAGTTTATATCCACCTTTCCTGTTCTGGAAGTGAGCCCTGAATGAAACAAAGAGAAAATTCTTGGTGTATTTCTCTGATGTCGAGGTTTAGTTTTTCCCTCCAGACACTACAGAATGTGTGTTTGCTTAAAAAAAAAAATACAGCAAGAGTTATTTTCCAGAAGTCAAATTTAAATTGGAACATCCTTTTCTACACTTGCTGCAGGCAGATGGCTCCCGAGGGGTACTTTTATATTTTCATAAATGGGGTTTATGTATGAGACCTGTGGGATTAGGAGTTAATCTCAAGAGAGTCTGAGACTCTGGGGGTTGAGTTGAGTACATAGAGTTTTGATTTACACCTCTTTCTATTTTTAAAATTTCCAAGTTTCTGTCCTCAAAGGATTTTGCTTCTTGTTTACTTACATGAGTTTAGAGGCACTTGCAACGGCCTAGGGTCAGGTATTGAATTCTGAAAACCTTGTTTTGAATCCTGGACCTTTCATTTCCTCTAAATCTGAATATTTGAATAATT